GCTCAACCTGCTGCTGTGAAGCAGGATTCTCCACCATGAACAGAATCAACAATAAATATGGATCCAGGCTCAAAATGAGCTCCTTGATATGTGCTTTAGAATGGCTTAGTCTCCATTCAAACCAGGTTTAAAGCCTTGCAGGGCAGCATAAAGCCCACTGCCAACATTAAGACAGGAAACGGTCAGTTCAGGAGTTTTATGAAATATGTGAATCAGGAAGTTGTCTATATACCAAACTGAACGATTTTTGTTCTCTGCTTCAAAAAACACTTTAGATTTTAAAATGGAAAATGTTCCATTCTTTTTTTTTATATATATCTTTATTGAAAAAGTCAATATATAACTTGGATACATAAAAGCCTAATTTTATTTTAGTGTTAATTTCTGTTTAAAGTAACAGATTTTAATCAAAAGTGTCTTTGGACCTTTACTGGTTGATGATTTTCTTTATTCAGACCCCACTGATTTTTAGGTGGTTTCCCCTGCTATAGTGGATGAAAAAGCAATGGACTAGAAATTTCCCACAAAGCACCATAAAAACTAATGTTCAATCCACAGACATTAATACGTAGACGCCTCATTGGACGCTTTCAGCAGCGAGGCAGAAGTGCCAAGAGGGCGGCCAAGTTGGGTCAGACCAAAGTTCAGACAGCTGCTGTCAGAATGAAGAGGAGGCGCCTTAGATCTCATTTTAATCACATGAAGACGAGTCAGAGATAATATCACAATCATCTCTTACATGTCACAATACCTTAAAAGGCCAAAACTAATTTCAAACTTACCTTTCAGTTAGATTACACATACTTATTCAGAATAAAAACTAAAGTGAACTCAAACTGGATGAGATATATGCAAGTTATACATTTTACATTAAGATTATATTTTACAAATACAAATATTTATATAGTATATTATTATTATTATACAGTATTTTAAAGGACTGCTCTTTGATACTGAGTATTATGATCTATAGAGGAAAATCTGTTATAATATGATTTACAAAAGAGAGTAAAGTTATAATTTTGGTTTTTTAATAAATTGTATGTTAATTTTTATTTATTTTTGTCATTGTCAAGACTTTTTTAACAAATCACAGTGAATATAATATTCATGTTGTGTCTGACTAAAGGCTTTTTAGACTACAGAAGATGAGCAGATATATCCTGAAAGGCTTTAAGAGAGCAATCCTTGCAAAGCCTTATGGGATTTTTTGTCACGGTGGCACGCTGTCACCTTCGGCTTACACTACCCGACAGTGGCGACAAATAAAGATGGCGCAGGGACCGTGTGGTGTTGCGTAATCACGTGACCAGTTAGTAGTGATCATCTGTTTAAAGGAATAGTACACCCAAAACATGATTAGCCTTCATTTTCTACTCACCCCCATGCTGAACAACACTCT